GTTTCAACTGAAAGAACTGGCAAGAAAATAGTCTGACCTGGGAGTCAGGGAGAGCAGTTAGTTCCACACATGTGACTCTAAATCACACAAGAGATAAAGTGGAAAATAAGGGAGGAGCCTCAGTCAGAGAGAAGAAAGTCTTGAGATGGATATCTCCTGGTAGGCAATTGGCCACATATTAGCTCTTGGGTGCACTATGAAGCTTGAGCTCGCAGTCGCTGCGTGATTGCAGGGGTCACACAGTTACTTAGTAATGGACATGATAGAATACAAGCTCTTATTCTGTAAATGTCCATATACATGTTTTTTCTTGATATCCTAATGACTCCATGTCACAGGACTCCCCTGAAGGCAGGAATTCAGATCAGTCACCTTAAAAGTTCCCTCCAGAGTACTTATTTTTAAATGTTCACTACCAATGCACTATGAATTAGGTAACTCCTATTTGCAGCTTCCTGACTTGCTTCTCACCATGGTCATCCCAGGTACCACTGACCTCATGGCAAAGACGAACCTCACCTTGGTGACAGAGTTCCTCCTCATTGCTTTCACTGAATACCCTGAATTGGCAGTCCCTCTCTTCCACCTGTTTTTATTTATTTATCTCACCACTTTGTTGGGGAACTTGGGCATGATCACTCTGATCCGCATGGATCGCCGGCTCCACACCCCTATGTACTTCCTTCTAAGCCACCTCTCCTTCATGGACATCTGCTACTCATCCGTCACTGTCCCTCAGACAATGGCCATGTTGTTGGAGCACGGAGCAACTTTATCCTATACACGCTGCGTTGCTCAGTTCTTTCTGTTTACTTTCTTTGGTTCCATTGACTGCTACCTTCTGGCCCTCATGGCCTATGACCGCTATGTTGCCGTGTGCCAACCACTGCTTTACGTCACCATCATGACGCAGAGGGCACGTCTAGGTTTTGTGACTGGGGCTTACATCGCTGGCCTCCTCAGTGCCTTGGTGCGGACAGTCACAGCATTCACTCTCACCTTTTGTGGAAACAATGAAATCGACTTCATTTTCTGCGACCTCCCCCCTCTGCTAAAGCTGACCTGTGGGGACAGCTACACCCAGGAAATGGTGATTATTGTGTTCGCTATTTTCGTCCTCCCTGCTTCCATGGTGGTGACTGTGGTATCCTACCTGTTCATCATCGTGGCCATTCTGAGGATCCCTTCAGCAGGAGGCCGGGCCAAGACCTTCTCCACCTGCACCTCCCACCTCACCGCAGTGTCTCTGTTCTTTGGTACCCTCATCTTCATGTACTTGAGAGATAACTCTGGACAGGCCTCAGAACAGGATCAGGTGGTGTCTGTGTTCTACACAACAGTAATCCCCATGTTGAATCCCCTCATCTACAGCCTGAGAAACAAGGAAGTGAAGGAAGCCTTGAGGAAAGTTCTCAGTAGGATCAAGCTTTCCTAACCTTTTCCCACCTTGGACTATCCCATGAATCACTACTCTAAAATGTCGTCATTCTAAACCTTTATTGTTTACAGTGTGCCAGATATTTAAATGCATATATCCTGATTCAAGATATGAAAAAGAGTGAGAACTTTTAATTCCCAGAAAAGGAAAGAAGAAAAACAGAAGGCTGCTTGAGAAAAGATTAGCATGTGAGCTCTGACACCCAAGGCGTGCCATCTAAATGCTGCAGATCTCACTGGTCTGTGGTGATATAAGACCACGGTTTTTGCAAACTTTTCCATGAATTTTTTCATAATATTGAACTATTGGAAATAATGTTTATTAAATACTTTATACTCTATAGTCTATAATTGTTAAAAGTTTCCTGTGTTCAGTTTGTCACATAAATATAATCTATTCCATTGCCCATCCATCAATGTATCTATCATCCTGTGTTATTTTTGATCCATTTCAAAGTGAATTCTAAATATCAGCATTACTTACAGACATCAACATGCTCCAGTGGATGGCCCCATACCCATGTGTATGTATTCAGCACTAATTAATTATAGTCAGTAGACTATAAATAATAACCATAATCAAAAAGGCAGAGATGAAGCCAGGCATGGTGGCACACACCTTTAGTCTGAGTACTTGGGAAGCAGAGGCAGGCAGATCTCTGTGACTTCAAGGCCAACCTGGTCTACATAGAGAGTTCCTGGACAGCTAGGGCTACAGGGAGACCCTGTCTCAAAAAAAGCCAAAAAAAAGGGGGGGAGATGAAGTTGAGAGTGAGATGGGTGGTGGGTACCAGGGAGTGGTAGTAGAATGGAGGAAATAGGAGATAGGTAAGATCAAACTGCATTGTATTCATCCATAAAATTTTCAGAGAATAAATACAAAATATCATTTTTAAAATAAAGTGAATTGCTGAATTGAAGGCATCAGCGTAAGAATATTCCATCACTCGGCCCTTTAAAACCATGATATCAATTGTGAGTCAAAATTTATGTTGCATCTATTCATTTATTTACATTATTTATGTATTATTTAGGACAGAGTCTCATATAGCCCAGGTTGGCCCCAAACTGTCTTCATGGCTGAGGATAACCTTGAACTCCTGATCCTTCCACTTCTACCACCTGAGTGACAGATTGACAGCCTGTGCCACCATGCCCAGCTCATGCTGGAGGTCAAAGCTAAGGATTGATGCATGCTAGGCAGGCACTGTACTACGCAATTGAGCTATATACCCAGCCCTAAATGACATTTTTTAAATATTTATTTATTTATTTGTGTGTGTGTGTGTGTGTGTGTGTATACATGTGTATGTGTGGGTACCTGTGCACATTCCAAAGCCAGAAGAGAGCTTCAGGTCCTCCTCTGTCACTGATGGCTAATCCTCTGAGGTAGACAGTCTCCATGAGCCTGGGACTTGAGTTTTCTCAGCTAGGCTGGAAAGCATCAAACCCCAATAATTCTGCCTCCCTTGGAGCTAGAGTGAAAGGCCTTTGCGGGGCACCCAGCTTATTACATGGATGCTGGGATGCAAGCTCCATTTCTTATGATTACTCAGCAAGTGCTCTTAACAACTGAGCCATCTTGCCAGCCCTGATGCTTTTTTATTATTTTTGAGGATTTCATACATGAGTACTGTATTTACATCATTTCAACCACTACCCTTACCTGCTCCCATTCTTCCCATGCCAGCCATTCCCTCTCAATAGCATGACCTCTTCTTTGATTGTTAGTTACATATTTTTAATGATTAAATTACAGTTATTTAATGGCCCAGTTAATGACACCCTATTCAAATTATTCTTCAGGTCTTGGTAGTTGTTCCCAAGAATGCCTTACACAAATATCTAAATATTAAAGTAACATTTCTGTTGACCGTGTTTCATCACTGGAAATATGCCCCACCATTTCTTCTATCCACCTATTCCAGATCCTCCTGCTCTGTTGTATACTTCGGAATCTACTCAATAGTTTCACTTCTTTCGCTTCCCATAATGATACGTCTAGTATCTGTATGTATGTGTGTGCAATGTTCTTAGTTTTAGTCTGTGGGTAGGCAGATCATCACTGGATCTCATGCAGCTGTGTCAGGACACTATTCTAATCTACTCAGAAGCCCTGTGCCTTGCACAGCATCATCCTGCATCCAGGATGCAGGCACACTGCCTCAACTAAAATCAAGGCAGGGGGAAGGGACAGATTCTATCTCCTTTTAATTCTTAAAATAAAACTTTTAGGATCCTAGCAGAAAGCCTGAGAGGGTAGGATCCGACCTCTATCAGTGTAGTAGCTGTGACCTCAGCACACTGCCGTAGAGTGCCAGGTTCTGGCCTCCCTCTGGCATAGAGGCTGAGAACACAGCAGACCAACTGAGAGCCCCCAAATTGCCCCCCTTGGGAATTTCTCAAATTATTTTTGAATTCCTGATAATAGGGGTCCAAATCTTAGAAGGAAGTCTGAGTGTACCTGACTAGAACCTGACTTGGACTTCTGTGGGTGCTCATGAATAGCTGATCTGAAGCTATCAGTTCCCTCCAAAATAAAAGTTAAGAGAACCTGAAACCTGTACCAACCAACTTTACATAACCAATAAGGAAAAGACCTAGGCACCCCAATAATACAAACAAAGGCATATTTCAACTTAATTCTCATATCAGAATCATAAAAAAACAAAAGAAATTCACAGGCCAAAACCACAAAGAAAGAAAAATAAAATGGAAAGCCAAAACAAGATTTCCTCACCAAACTCCACCAGTCCTGTAGTAGAGTTCTACAAGGAGAACACACTAGAGATAACCCAGGACACTGAATTTAAAAGAACAGTCATAAACATGATCAAGGAATTCAACGAATTTAAAGAACACATGAACAAACAAATCAAAGAACTAAAAGAAGATAGGGATAAACTTCTGAATGAATTTACAAAAGAGATAGAAACATTGAAGAAATGTCAAGCAGAAATGAAGAAGGAAGTGCAAAAGTCAATAAACTAACTTGAAACAACAGGGGAAAGCCTCACCACTATGAATGATATGGAAAATAGAATATCAACACTGGAGGATAAAGTTGAAGAATTAGACCACTCAACCAAAGATTATGGAAATTTTTTTCAAAACACAGGAATAGAATATGCAGGAGATGTGGGACACCATGAAAAGACCAAATCTATGTATCATAGGCATAGAGAAAGGAGGAGAATTTCAGGATAATAGTACTGAGCAGATCTTAACCAGGGTTGTAGAGAGAATTTCCCAAAATTGAGAAAAGACATTCCCAAACAAATACAAGAAGCATATAGAACACCAACCAGGGAAGACCAGAAAAGAAACTCTCCACGGCACATTATAGTAAAAACACTAAACGTAAAAAACAAAGAGACAATACTGAAAGCTGCAAAAGAGAAACAACAAGTCACATATAAAGGAAAATGCATTAGGAGTA